ATTTTTGCCTTGGGAACATTCTTTGGAGCTAATCGTTGCAGAGAATTACAGCTGAGAAAGTTGAGTAAGGTCTAAAATTGGCTTTGAGTTAATCCCTACCGGCCACCCTCCTGTATTACTATGTGACTTTGCATTCAATTAACCTTCTGCTTGTTTCCCATCTGCTGGATGGAAGCAGACTGCATCTGCCTCTTGCTCCCTGCAGGTCAAACCTCAGTAAGTCAGAGTCTTCAGTGTAAAGAGATGCCTGTGGCAGTGTGCAACTATGGCCACTTGAGAACAGAAGATTTCTCAGAGATGAGACTTAGTTCAGGCCCCAAGAGGACCCAGAGTAGCTGATTCTTGGGAGTAGGAGGGCCTCAGGGACATGGCAGTGAGCTGAGAACTCTGTTGTTTTTTTATTTGTCAATCCAGGACATAGGAACATAGAGCATAAGAACAGGTAGAAGAAAAGTACTTTATAGCAGATTATATAGGTGTTTTAGTCAGGGGACCCTGTAGGAAAAGGGTGACCTGTTATGTGATTTATGTTAACCTGGTTTAAGGCTACAGCTGCCCAGCCTATGCTCAAGAAGGAAACCAGCCTTCATTGTCAGCGGTATCCAAAAGCCAGGTCTCAGACCAGAAGTCAGGATGTTTCCATCCAATGCACTCAGGCTGTGGTTACGCCACACTGAGAGTCAGACTTACACAGTTACCCCAGACTACAAGAGCACTGGAACAGTGTGGTCTTACCTGAGAGGTAAATGTTCCACAGAAGCTGAGTCCCAGGTGTCTATCTGGGTGACACCCACAGGGATACATTCACTAGGGAGCCCAGCACACAGTCCAAATGCTTTAAGAGTTAGTGCTGTGTGACACAGTGGAGTTTTAGAAACTCCCTCCTCCATCCATATCAGTGACCCAGTGCTCCTGCCCAGTGTGAGGGCTCTGACCCTCACTGCCCTGGAGTGGTCCCAGTGATGAGTCCTCTCTCATGGCTACGCCAGAGATCCCTGGCCTGTCCTCCACACAGAGCTGCCTTCAGGCTTCAGCCCCTGTGAGGTCTCAGGTAGTGGAGTGGCACTCAGGGGCTCATCCCTGGGTGAGGCACCCACCACCCCCACCTCCTGGAGGACACTTTGCTGAGTGACACAGACTCTTGCCTGAGTAGGTCAGAGATGTCACCTGGTGCTGTCCTGGGTTCAGGGTCAGGATCCTGCATCCTCCAGGATTGCACAGTCAGGACCTCGGGGATGTGGTTTTCACAGAGAGCACACAGTCTGTAGTGGGTTTCTCAGTCAGTTCTTTTGTGACACTTTAATAAGGTTCTATAAGACACTAAAGGACAGGGACAGAGACAGAGAGAGAGAGAAACAGAGAGAGAGAGAGACAGAAATTGAGTTTTCAATGCCAGTTGCTGGGAAATGAGATGTCACAGGAAAGCAAACACCACATATAAAATAAGACAAGAAGAGCGACAAATCCACAGAAACAACTGGTGCTTTAACAAGCAGATGTCACAGATGGAATGAATTAATGAAAAAGAACATGGCACCCTCCACATTAGAGTAAAATGAAAATGACTGGACAAAGATGTGCTGGGGAGACCCAGAAAGAGGAGCAGGAAGGGGAGGATTCGGTGTGCATCCATCTACGGAGTCAGGGTCATAGCAGCCTCTCACACAGACCAGCCCTGCCCAGCCCACAATTCAGGTACATCAAGGGTCCTGATAAGTTGAAATTAGCACATGTTACAGTCCCAGAGGTACGGGAATTGGTCATAGCATCAGCCTCCAGAAGGTGACTATTTCAGGGTGTCATGGAGGCCAGATGTTTTCCTGACTAGAAAAGTAACCAGAATAAGTTAGGCCCCATCCCCTCGATCTCTTCGTCTCAAACCTGGTAAAAAAAATTTTTTTCGCCATTAATCCTCAAGAATCAGAGCATATCTGCACAGTTCCCAAGTACTGCCCCAATATTTGGCTTAGGGAATCCTACATCTGCTCTGGGCGCTGGGGCCTTCTCTGCTATAATCTGGACCTCTGTCCTGTTCTCCTTCCTCAGTCTCTGAACAAATGACCTTCTTAGACCGTGTTCCTAGACAGGGTCCCCACAATATTTGCAGCTGAGTTTGTCAAAAACATAAGAACAACACAGGGATAATGTGAGACGCTGCGATAGAACAGTGGGAATGGTTGGTGATACTCAGGATACCTCTCTCCTCCCTCCTCTCCTCTCCTCTCCTCTCCTCTCCTCTCCTCTCACCTTTCCTCTTTTCTCTTACAGCCTCTGTGGTCCCTTATGATCTGACTCAGTTGACCCCCTCCCATTCAGACTAGGACTTCTGGCCGCTTACCGTAGTAACCTCAATGGAAAGTGCTTTTTGTTCTAGAGAACATTTGCCAGGATCATCTACCTTCTCAGAAAGATTCAGTTTAATAATTGTCTATAGTCATGAATTCAAAATCCTGCCCGACTCAGGATGGACCCAAAGTGTTCCTCTCCACCTCTGGAATATCCTGTAGTGATTCTACTTCATGCTCTGGGCTGCCCCCCTCACTGCTTTCAAGAGAACCTGGGCATCAGTTCTGCATCTCCATCCATCTGAGCGCAGGATACACACAGCACAAAGCCAGCTGTTCCCAATTTCGGCCACTGGAGGCCACTCTACACCCAGAAAGCACTGGTTTCTCACCAAAATTCCCTGTGTAAATGTCCAAATTTGCCCCAAGTAGTTCCAATTTTCCTTTGCATCTTTATGAAATAAAAACAGAACCTGAGACAATATACAGGATAGGTTATGAGAGTCCTGGAGACTCAGATTCACCCTAGAGGTATATCCAGGCCCGGTGAAGAGGTGTCCTTATGTCTACACAATGTGTCAATAGATACAGATCTACAGGTGTGAATTACTGAATGGAACCTTATTTTCTTCTACCTCTGACATCTTGTTTAGAAAACAAATTATTTTCATTTCTCTAACCAAAAATATAAATGTGGTCAGATCTACAGAATATAATATATCCTTTTAAATAGTAACTAAAAGTCCACCAAAGCTCACCGCTGAAAACAAGAAACCAACTCTTGACTCCCCCAGCTGGTGAGGCCTGACCTCATGACTGAGGGAATCTCACAGTTCTGGCTGCACAATCATATGACATCCCATGTTGCCTTGCGTCACCTAGGACCTAGGGTTACACCAAGAGCTGTTTCTCAAGATCTATAATTCTATGCCCCTGATGACATGGACTGTTTTCAAAACTGCATGGACTACACTGGGATTCTCTAGGAAGGGTTTGTCCTAAATGAAATGTTCCTCTTCTGATTATCAATTCAGGTTCATAATCTACTGCATACAGATATGCACACAGGAGGAATTGCAGGAACCAGGTAGGAACATGTGGTATGGCCTCCTGCAGTGGTATCTACAATGATTTGTCACCGTGTTCAATATTTCAGTGGGAATGAATCCTCAAATTTCATTCCACTATTTTTTGCAACTACAATGACTTATGCGCTTTGGAGTACCTTGTTGATGGAAATTATAAGATAAAAGATGGAAATTGAGTTATCTGGGAGAGGTGGCAGACAATGTTCCAAAAACTAAACCCTAAAAATAGTAGATGAGATGGAAGAGTGTGTCTCCCTGTGATTCTTTCCCTCACTCTGAAACTTTGTCCCATTCAGCCTTTCCATAGGCTTGCCTCTTCAGGCACATCTGATGCATTTGCTGTGGTGAAGCCACTGCCTGAGATGAACCCCCATGTCTGTAGATGATATAAGCACTGCTACAGTGCCTTACACCATGAGAGGTTAAGTTCATGGGTCCGAGGGAGCAAAATCTCTTATTTACTGTTGTATGTTCTGTGTGAATGCACACTGCTTGTGACCCTGCCCTGTCAGAGGAAATAGAGACGTGCTCAGATTCTGCCTCAGTCATCCTTTCCATGTACCTGCACTTACACGGTGTTGCACTAGTACCTTCCACAGCAGAGGCACAAGTGCCCGGTGACATCACTTCCGGTCAGGATCTATACACATCTCCTTGTGCTTTCACAATCCACCCGATAGTTCTGGGAACAAACCCATAAATTAAAACCAACCTCAACTACAAGCCCTTCAGTCTTCAGAGGTGCCATTATAAACATCATTCCCCATCCTGAGAGTAGCATTTCTTATTCACTGCTGTGGATGGGGTAGAAATGGGGGAAGACTCAGAATTTACCACCTGCACAAAGTTCAGGCAGGAAAGGCACCGAAGTTTCTCAGCACTGTGAGCGCTGCGGTGAACATTCCACTCTGCCCTCGCAGTATAAAAGCACCATTGACAACCTTAAAGGAGCGGGCATGACTGTGTCCAGCACAAGCTGACACACACATGCAGCAGCCAAAGTGTTCTCTAGATGAGAAAATCCGCTCAGTCAGGAAATTAGAATTAACGCTGATAGCGGGGCAGCAGTCCTCAACTTGTATCATTGTTTCTGAGGTTTAGACTCAACAGGAACCACACTGGCTACTCATCCATCAGACTCAAGGATGGCCAGCCATTCCTTCTGCTATCTGTAGGTAAGACCTCAGGAGCGTAACCTGAAATTGTTTTTATACATATGCTCACGTTGATGTTGACAGTTCCATAAAAAAATAACATTGCCTGTTATTCCAGACTACTGCTCTCCCCACCACTGTCATAAAGGGCCCACTGCTACAACAGCCTTCTGCACTGTGTACTGGCCCACAGAAGCCCTTAGGGACATAAACGTCCTCCCAGTCCTGTGGCTTTTAAACAACTGCAGAGCAGAATGACTCACAGGCCCTCCTGAGAACAGAGTCATCTATGAGAGTAGTCTCAAGTGGAGATGTCACTTTGGGACCAACAGATGAAGAGCCTTCCCTATCATGAGGCCCTGCCGCCCCACCCCAGCGCACCCAGAATGTCTGAGGCTGAGCCCTGCTCTGCAGGCCACAAAGCTGCTCCAGCAGCAGAGCTCAGTCTGGGCTCATTTGCATAAAGGCCACTTTCTGCAGCAAGGGGATAAGAGAGGGCTGGGGAGAAACCAGCCCAGCTTGAGCCCCAGGAAGCAGCATCACAGGCAGCTCCACCATGGCCTGGGCCCCCTTCTTCTTCTGGCTGCTGGCTCACTGCCTAGGTACTTTCTCAGAACAAACTTGCCCACTAAGCCACAGCATTGGGAAAAACCTGCCCTGACCCAGACCTGGCACAAGTGGATGTCCTGGGATGATCTTTCATGGACTAACCTTTTCTTTTCTGTTTTTGCAGACTGTGTGGCCTCTTACACCCTCACTCAACCTCCCTCAGTGTCTGTGACTCCAGCACAGACAGCCAAAATCACATGCTCTGGAGATGACTTGGGGAATAATTATGCATCTTGGTACCAGCAGAAGCCAGGCCAGGCTCCTGTGCTGGTCATCTATGAAGATAGCGAGCGGCCTTCAGCGATTCCTGATCGATTCTCTGGATCCAACTCAGGAAATGTGGCCACTCTGACAATCACAGGAGTACAAGCTGGAGATGAGGCTGTCTACTACTGTGCTATAGCACATGGCAGTGGTAGCAGCTTTCAGTGACTCACAGTGACACAGACAGATGAGGACTTGCGACACAAACCTCACCATGCTTGGCCGACACTGTCTTCACTCTCTTAACCATAACTGTGACTTTGGTCTCCACTTACTGAGACTGTGTCTCCTGCAGCTCAGGCTGCAGGAAAGGTGCAGAAGCCCATTGAAAATGTGATTCTTTCCCAGAGCAGGGTCACTTTAAGTGAAGATTTGTTTACTTTAACCCATGGTTCTGCTGAATCTAGTTCCCAGGGTCCTAGAGTAGAAAATGCCTTCAGAGAGCCCAGTTTCTGGATGAGGTGCTGACACTTGCTTCTCCCTCTGGCAACACAGCATGTGCAGGAGAACAACTCGTTATGGCCCCAGTGTCTCTGGTGACTTGTCCTTGAAAATTACAAAGGATTAGGAGCCCCATGGGATAGTATCTAGAGGATGAACTGTGCTGATCTGTCCAGACCAAGTCTGTGTGTGACTCAGAAGTGTGTACCTCTTCCCCCTGTGAGCATGGAGAGGAATATCTTTAACAATGCACTGCATTTCATCACAAGTCACTTAGCCCAGTTGCAGATTCCCCAGGTCAGAACTGGGCCTCTGTGTGGGACTTAGGTAACTGCTCTTTTCTGCTCCTCTCACACTCTGCATTAGGGTAGAGTCTGCTGGATCCTGTGGGCCCCACCGCAGCACCACTGCCACCTTCGCTGAAGCTGCTGTGCAGTCCCCTGCTTCAGACCTCAACACCACACATCCTATCTTCCCTCATTATGCTTCGGATGGAGCTGTAGCCTCAAATGAGAATCTGTCACTTCCAGAAACCAGATTGATCCTAAAGTGTTCCTGCTTCTTCTTGAGAAGTGTGGGACATAGTATGTGTCTATGTTGTGGCAGTTTACCTCAATTTCAAAAAACAACTGGATTCTAATCTTTTCTCCTAACATGGAAGAACGACTCTTACTGTGCCTTACTTTTCCTGGCCTGGTTCTATGTTTCTACCTGAGTGTTCCTGTGTACTGGCCACCACAGGTAAACAGTAACGGTATGAAAGGGAAAGGGGACGTGTAGATGGACACTGACCACTCAACAGGAATGCACAGTTTCTCACCCTATTCCTGGAAAGGAATACAGAAAAATTCGGTTTCCCAATTGATGGTGCAATTGACCACTAACAGAAAAAGAGCCTGTGATAGTCCATAAGGAGAGAGTCACCAGATCTGTACTTGAAGGGCTTGATACGTGCCAAGATAACACAGCTGCTCCAAGATAGGCCATCATCCCTGGGTAGAAATGGTCTTCCAAGGGTCCCCAGTGTGCTGCTGGGACAGCATCCAGGAAGAGTGAACAGGACTCCGTAAGTCTCCACTGTTGTAGTACCATGCATCCAATAAAACCTGTGGACGTCTATGACTTAGATCCTTCAAAGAAAGTGGCACTGAGACACCTATTTTCAACCTGGTCACGAAAGAGTACATATTGTCTACCTTCCCATTGCTGAAAAAAAAATCCTAAGTCTCTGTCAGCATAAAGGAAGGGAGGTTTGTTTTTCACAGCATTTCCAATGATTCCAGTCCAAACTCAGCTATCTCCATTCAGAGCTGCATGGTGAAGGGACATGGTAGCAGAACGTTGCTCAACCAGTGCCAGCCAGGAAGCAGAGAGAGAGAGAGAGAGAGAGAAAGAGAGAGAGAGAGAGAGAGACAGAGAGAGAGAGAGAGAGAGAGAGACAGAGAGAGGGAGAGAGAGACAGAGAGAGAGAGAGAGACAGAGAGAGACAGAGAGAGACAGAGAGAGAGACAGAGAGAGAGAGAGACAGAGAGAGACAGAGAGAGAGACAGAGAGAGAGACAGAGAGAGAGAGACAGAGAGAGAGACAGAGAGAGAGAGAGACAGAGAGAGAGGATGGCGATGGTGGAGAGGAGAATGCATCCCTTCAGATCACAGAAACAGAAATCCACCCACATACAGTCCTCACCGCTCAACACCACATGCAGCCACAGAACTCACTAAGATATAAATGCACTGATAAACACACTTTTCCTGTTATCTAATCACCTTGGAAACACATGAGCCTCCTGGGGGAAGCTTCATATCTAAAGTATAACAGAGAGGTTTGGGTAACAGCACAGAGAGAAGCTGCAAGAGCTAGGCTGGGCCTGCACAGCCCAGCACAGCCCAGCACAGCCCACCACAGCACAGCCCAGCACAGCACAGTACAGCACAGCACAGCACAGCATAGCACAGTGGCCTTCACACTCCCACAAGTTCCCCAGCTCTAACTTGAATGCAGTCCCATGGACACCACTAGCTGCTGCTTCTCAGGCTCCTATAAATGACCAGGCCATTGAAGGGACACTTGGGAGCCAAACAGACCACAATACGTGCTCTGCAATTTAGTCCTCAGAGTCCTCCTTTCGGTACTATGGTCACTTTCTAGACCAACGGGCCAAGGAGTTGAATTCTGGATGCCTGAGTCAATGCGTTACTGGACTCTGCTGTTCTCTGATTTCCAAGATAACCAGGACTTTACTTTGCCTGCTGCAAAACTGGGAAAATTCCCAGTTCTGGACACAGAGCACAATAGATGTTTTTTCAACTAAGAAAGACTGTGTATGTCACACTTACTGAAACAGTGCTTGGAGTCCTGTGACAGTCTAGAGCAGCTCAGTTGGGGAATTTCTGTAAAACACTTGGTCAAACGTCAGAATTGTCAAAATAAGATTCTTTTCCTTCAATGTCAAATCATTTCTTCAATACCTCATCCAACCTGATTGGATGCCAACTTGATTACAAAAACTAAAATAAAATTGATGATTCCCTAAATAATTCAGTGATTGGAAGATATTTACGTCTGCTCTGGACAACTTGGATATATAAGTCTACCTTATTAACTTTAAACTAAATAAAATAAATACAGATAGTGACCAGGACTTTAGCTCAGAGGCATAAGTGCCTGCTTGGAAAGCACAAGATCTTGAGTTCAAAACCGTGGTACCAATAAATAAATAAGAAATAAATACAAGTCATTTTGTGACAAAACTCATTGTGTAAATTGAGATGTGATATAAATGTATAGGACATACCATATTTCAAAGATATAACATGAGAAATCACTATAAAGCATACTACAATAAAGTTTTAATTAGTTCATTACAGATCAATTTTTGGTACCTGAGACATGAAGCCCTCTAGACACTCACAGGACACAGGTATGATGACAGAGAGAGATGTCAGAGTGAGAAAGATGGAGAAGCGATGTGGACCACTGTCCATGCAGGTAACTGTTTGTCAGATCAGCTCCTGCTCCATCCTAGAAACAAGCTTCCATTTTGCGTGATTACTGATGGGCCAGCCTGACCTCAGGATTGGGGGAGTCTCACAGGACTGACAGCATGGTCACCTGATGTCTCACATTTTCCTGACACAATCAGTATTTAGGGATGCTCCAGGAGCTGTTTTCAACAGTTCTATAATCCTCTATGTAAATGATGTGAACTTTTTCCAAAATTCAGTAGACTATAATGAGATTCTCCAGTGAGGATTTGACCTGAACTCAAAGTTTACATTTCCAGTACTAATTCACCCATTGCCGTACAGCCTCACCATACAAATGTGTAAAGCTCCCTTTGTCATATGATCCCCTGTACAGTGTGCTGTGACAGGAAATGTTAATTTCATATAGATGAGGGAATAAAATGTCATGTTGTACATTCTATATGAATGCTTGCCATCTCTGAGAGGAATAGAGAGAGCTCAGATTCTGTCCCAGTGGTTCTTCTCCTGTCCCCGCAGATACATTATTCCACATTGGCACATTCCATGGCAGGTGCAAAAGTGGCCACTAACATCTGCATCTGTAGAAATATTCTGCCTTTCAGAATTCATCTAACTGTTGTGGGGTCACTTCAATAAATTAGAATAAAACTAATCTTGGAAACAAGATCCTTTGGTCGTCAAAGGTGTCATTAGGCTATGCCACTTGCCTTCTCCAAATGTGACATTTGAAACTCACCATTATTCATAGGTTAGAGAAGAGGGAGGTGACACAGAATTTACCACCTGTATAAAGGTCCAGGTTGAAAATGGTTTGGAGTTTCTCAGGCATGTGGAATGTGCTACAGAACCTCCATTCCACTCTTTCTGTGTGAAAGTAAAGAAGCATCAGCAAAATTACAGGAGGAGACGGGGCAGTGTCCAGTAAAAGGTTACATATACTGGCAGATGACATAATTTGCTACCTGTTAATTTTGCTTTTCCTCTTCTTTCTGGGAAAATTCATTCTGGCATAATCTTACTCTGAATGCCTACGTAAACAAAATTCACTCAATCTGGTAACCGGGGTTGAGCATGGTATTAGGGCACTGCCCTTGAGCTTTCCCCATTATTCTAAGAGTATGGAGGGAGCAGAGCCAATGCTGCCTACTCATCCTCTAGATCCAAGGCTGGTGAGGCTTCCCATTACTCCCTGTAGGTTAGATTTCAGGAAGTCATTTGAAATTGTCTTTTCCTCCTCCTTTTAATATCTTTGATGCTGAGTCCTGCTCTGAATATCACAAGCTGCACAAGCAGCAGACCTCAGGAGTCCCCACCTTGGACCGATGTGCATAAGGCCAGTGTTTTCAGCAAGAGGATGAGAGAGGCCTGGGAGGAAGCCAGCCTAACCTGAATCTCAGGAAGCAGCTTCAGAGGTGCCTCCTACATGGCCTGTTCCCTGCACCTGAGGCTGCTGGTTAATTGTAAAGAGTGCCCCTACCTCACCTCAATTCTAGGCTGTATTCAGTCTGAGCGTATCCAATTCCTGTGTGTGGTGGGCAGAATTCTCAAGAACCTACTGCAGGACGGACTGTGGGACTAAGATCCCTGCACTGCGCTCATGGACTTGTGTAAGGTCTTAGGGACTACAGTCATCAGGAAAGAGCAACAGGTTTGACCATGTGCAGAGCCTCCAATTTCCAGTAATGTCATGGGCCATTGACTGACACTGATGGGAGGAGGCTGCTTAGAGGCCCAGGGAGTAACTGATCCTCAGCCAGATCTGGAGGAAGTG